ATCAGACAAATCAATGACCATAGGAAAATTTGACATTTTAAAGTATTTGAAAGAATTAATTTGGTAAAAAATTTTAACAACAATTTATTCCTGAATGATATTAATTTTTAATTTAATTTGTGTAAATAATCAGCACAAAAAAATAATAAATATAATAAATATTTCGTGCACATGGAAATTTGGTGTAACGTGATACCCCCGATTGAATTTTCAACACTGATCTGCGCTAATGATTTCATAATTTTTAGCCAAAAATACGCCAAATTTTGGTAAATTTCATAAACTTTAAATGAATAGAACTCGTGATCCAATAAATATTTGAAGAAGGGTTCTATTGGCTCCTTTGAACTTTCATTTAATAGAGAGTTTAAATTTGGACCACTAGTTTGTGAGTTCTATACTTTTTAGAAAGGTGATAAAAAGTTGTGATTTATAGAAATGATAAAAATAAAAGAAAATTTCAAATGTGTTCCACCATGGTAACGCGACATGTCAACTAGAGAAAGGTTTTTGGAGGACCATGAAGATAGAATTAATTTTACAATTTTGACCAATTTGATCTCTATATAAAGGCATGCTTGTAGAGGAGGTGGTAAGATGAAGAAACGTCATAGAAGGTATTGCACTGTTGGAATGACTAATTAATATTGATCCCTCACAAGCTTCTGTGACGTTTTCAACAGGCTATACTTGTGCAATTTCATAGAATTATCAATGAAGAGATCGTTAGTGTCAAAGTACATGGTTCTGTTGAATGTATCAATCCATCCATCGTCATGTATTTTATTCAAGTGTGGCTACGTTATAAATCCTCGGGATCCTAATTCAGAAACTGCCATTGTTATTGCTGGTGCATCAAGATTGTTCTTGACTCCTCATTCCACTTTCCACTTTACCATCCTTCTCCCAAGAACTTACATACTGGACAATAACACTACTCTCAATATCAAAATCCAATGGAGTCTATCTCTCTCTCCTGGTCAGGGAGATTTAACAAAACAATTGGTCATTCATTATATGATGCTCCACTTGTTAAAGCACTAGCTTGAAAAATATTGCCCAATTAATTAAAAAATCTTTTTATTAATCAAGAAGAACAACTGATAATTCATTATTTTGATAAGTGTTACAAATAAAAGCTAAACCACCACAAAAAAAAAAAAAAAATTAAAAAAAAATATCATAAATATAAAATAATAATAAACAGGAAAAAAAAATTCATATCTATATATAATATATAAACTTTATAAAATAAAGAAAATTTTTTTATTAGCTATATATATAGTAAAATAATAATTGATAATTTTGATTTTTTTTAAAAGAGAAATAAAAGAAATAAAAATATATATATTCTATAATTTTTTTGTCAAATCAATGATGGGTGATGGATAATATAATAGAAATAGCAGCAAATAGATGATGGTGAATAATTAATAGATTGAAGAATGGATTGAAGAATGGATTTGAAGAATGGATTGAAGATGATAGTAAAAAAAAATTATAGTTTTTGTGGTATATGTGTAATATGATATGTATATATATAGTGTATTTATAAATTGTAGTTGCAGTTGATTGTAAAAAAAAAAAAAAAAAAGCCTTAATAATAATAAAGGAAAATAATAGAATTTTTTTTTTTTTTGATTTCTAGCTATTATGAAAAATTATATTATATTAGCAACAATTCATTAAAAATTAAAAAAGAAAAAAAAAAAAAGAAAAATTAATAATAATAAAATTATATTATTATTATTACTATATTACTAATATATTAATTCTAAGTACTAAAAATATAATAATAATTTTTTTTTTTGATTTTTAATTTTGAATTTCTTTCTGCTGATTTTTTTAAAGTTTTTGAATTTTTGAAATGAAAATTAAATAGAATAGAATAAATTCAATTTATTTTCTTATATATAATAAAAAATATATAAAAATATTTTTGTTGAAGAAACTTTTTACTTAGAAATGATTTATTTAAGTGGTAATTTCGATATTTTCATTATTGATCTCTTCGTTGATTGTTACTGGTAATGGTGATGATGGTGATAATGACGGCGATGATATATTAATGTTATAATCATTAGCTATATAAGTGCCATTATTATTGTCATTGCCATTATTTTTGTTACTGGTGCTGTTTATTAGTTCGCCATTTACATTATTTTTTAATGCGATATTATCACCATGTAGATCACTGTAATTGTCGTAAGGAATGACGTTGATATTATTTTGGGGATCGTTGTTGATAACTGGTGATTTTGATTGGTCGATTTCATAATCATTATTAATATTGTTACTGGTGCTACTATTGCTACTGTTTATAGTATTGTTGCTGTCGTTACTTCCATTACTGCTACTGCAACTGTTATTATCATTAGTATCATTAATATTGTTTTCGGTTGTTAGATTATCTCCCTAAAAATGAAAGATTTTAATTAAAAATTTTTCATTATGAAGAAAGTTAAAAATATCAATTAAAAGTACGAACTTGTTTAGGCAATAACCAGAATCCCCATTCGTCACGTTTTCTAACTTTATCACCTTTAACTTCAACTATATGACTGTTAAGAAGTGCCTTGAAATTGTGTAAAAAAATTTTAGAAATACAAATATATATTATTATTTATTATTAAAAAAAATTACAAAACATACTTCACGAATGATTTCTTCCTCCAACGTTAAAGCTTTCACGCGATTGAAACCTGCTAATAATGATATATCTACATAACCTTCAGAATCCATCTATAAATAGAAAAATTTTTTTTTTGATTAAGTCATTAATAAAATACAATCATATGTTAATTAGAAATATAATAAATTATAATAATAATGAAAATTTACATTATTTCGTAAATAAATGTCTTTACATAGATTTTCAATACTAAAGTAGTACTCGCTATGAACCATACATGCAAAAAATAAATATTTAATATCGTTAATATATATATATATATATAATATTTAAATAATAATTTATATTATCAAAATATCATATGAAAATCACACACATTTGTTGTAAGACATAAAATTTTAAGATTTCAATATCATATATTACGCCAATCTTTGTTCCATAAAAATTTCCGTAATTTTGATGATTATAGATTGGCGTGGTGTATGAAAATGATGCTGATCGAGAAATTCCCCGTTGGCCATTATATGAACGACCTCTTCCACCCCTTCTAGAACCGCGATAGGAACTACTACCATTATAAGATATATGATTACCATTTTGATTGTTTTCGTTGTAATTAAAATAACGACGGCCATTTTCTCTTAATGGAGGTGGCACGCTGGCACGACGTTTACTCTGGTTATTGTTAGTATTATTCTGACTACTGGTACTGCTGCTGCTACTGCTGCTACCATTACCGTTACTATTATTAATATGTTGTGGTTGCTGCTGCTGTAGGCTTTGTTGATTTTGATAGTATTGACTTTGATTTTGATGTTGTTGGTAATGTGGAGACGAAGATGAAGAAGATTGGTATCTTGCTTCAGGGCTTGGAGTCTTTTCGCTTGATCTGCGATCCCTGTAACCAGCATGATCTTCACTTCGACGTCTTGTTTTTGGTCTATCATGACCAGGTAAAGGCGGATTATGGGTGATAGTTAGTTCTTCGTAAGGAATCCATTTGCCTTTACCTACATACCATTTGTTGAGTAAAATTTTAAATTAATTAAAAAGAAAAAAAATGCTAATAATGGATGCTGAAGATGAAGAGAAAGGGTGAGGAGGAAAAGAGATAAAAAACCTTTTTTAGGACTTTCTTCTTTCTTTAATCCTAATTCATTTGGTAAAGATTGTTTTTTCTCAGAAGATTCACTATTGACTTCTTTTTCCTTGTCTTTAATTAGGACTTCGGCAGGAGCAGGCCAACTATTTTGATCCTCTAGTGGAGGTATTATGGGAGCAGGAGTAGGCTGTGATAATGGTTTACTCCTCCTAGGATCTTTTTTATAATATCTTCTGGAATCTTTTTTTTTTTTTTCCGAAAACAAAAATGGTAATAAATGAAAGATTAACAACAATGTGCATTTCGTTATAAAGGGAATGAATCAGAATGACATTTACATACCTTCAGGAGAACTATTTTGTGAAAAGTAGTTTGGTTTATCAGACCTTTTATAATTATAATAATAATTGTAATTGTTATTATAATTGCCATTGTAATTGATTCCATTATTAATATTGTTATGGCTATAAACATAATTTCCATTATTTCCATTATTAATATTGGTATCCTTATTTCCATTAAGCAATTCTGGAGCTTTTTTGGAATTCATCGCTTCTTGTCTAACTTGCCATACATTAAAAGTAGGCTGTGTAGGTGTAGATGATGGAGTTTTCCTTGTTGAAGTGTCGCTCCCTGGTGAAGAGGTGGTTTTATTTTCATCATAATTATTATCAATTTGCTTTTCGTCGTTATTAATAGTATTAATACTAAGTTTACCATTATTATTTTTTTCATTATTAATGTTATTATCATCAATGATACTAGAACTACTAGAACTACTAGTATAACCATTATTGATATTATTAGACTCTTCCAAGGTTGAAATGACTGGCATTGTAGTAGTAGTAGTTGTTGTTGTTGTGGTCGTTGTTGTCGTTGCTGAATCATCAGTAGTTTTCAATTTATTGCTTGAAGCCTTGATCAGATTAACGTTACCAACATTTGAACCAACAATGTTACTTGAATCAGGTTGAGCAGTTGAAGGACTAACCATTTTTTTTTTTGTTCTTTTATCTTCTTTTTTTAAATGAAAGGTATATAATATACTAATTAAAGATATATATATATAAATATATACGTATACACTGTTATATTTAAAAAACTAACTAATTAAAATTACACGTTAGAATTTAAAAGGTTATAATATTGGATCAAATAGAAAGTGTTACAATAGAAAGCAAAGAGGAAGAGTGTTGAAGAAAAAAGAGAAAAAGAAAAAGAAAAAGAAAAAATTTTTTAGAAGAAAAAAAAATTTTTTTTTTATCAATAAGAATTAAAAAAAATTTTTAATAATAATAATTATAAATTATTTATTTATATGATTATTAATTAATTAATAAACTTGACTTGCTAAAAAATATATATATATATAAAAAAAATATACAAAGTAAAAATTATAAAAGCAACTCCTCTTTCTTTCCCAAGGATTTAAAAATAAAATAAAAATAAAAAAGTTACCGCGTTAAAAAAAAGTAAAGTTTTTTTTTTAATTATTTAAAAAGAGAAAAATCTTTTTATAAGGCGAAGTAATGAAACCCCTCTAAGCTGTTAGTTTACTATGACTTTATTATAGTACAAAAAGAGGAAGAAAAGAGAGATGTTTTGCTCAGCCAACGTCGTCACAACAACTAAACCCCAGTTTAAGAATAATTACAATAACCAGAATAATCAGATACGTACGTAAAAGAAGAATAAATAAAAATTAAAAAAAATTTTTTTAATCAAAAAAAAAAAAATAAAAGCTTTTATGTAAAATATAATCGCCTCACACACACACACACACACACACCAATTGCACTACTGACTAATTGACCGACTCACTTTACCCACTACTAAACTAATTTATTATTGTTTATTATGATGATTATATGATGACGATGAATGATGATGACGTTTGCTGATGTTGAGAAAAGTTAGTATAAAGTGCGTGTTGATATAATATATAATTAGTAAGTGGTATGTTGTAATATATTAATTAGGTTATTGCCACTATATTTTAATACTAATCTTAACTCTTTTCAGATTAATACGTGTGATACGTGGCGAAGTTGGCAAAATCTTTTTTTTAATATAAATGATGTTGATATTTTAACCAATCAGTACATTGCATCCAATCGCATTTTTTTTTTAGCATCAATTTATTATAATATCGTGGTGTGTTAATTAGTCAGTGTTGTTAACTATCACTTTGCCAACATATAATAATTTTGTCTTAGAATTTAAATAAATAGTTATTATTATTATTATTAAATTATATAATCATCAAAATAATAATTGCTATTCCGATAGATCCCGGGTTAAGAAGAAGATTCTAATTGATACTCGCACTGTTTGAGTCACACAAATAAATCATTATATCTTAAAACCATCTAGGGATCTGAAAATTTTTTCAAGATTAAATAACAAGCTTTTTTGGAAAAAATTAAAAGTTTGGTTAAAAAGTTTAAACTATAATTATTTTCCCTCAATCTCCCAAATTAATCACCACAATAATATATTTATAAGTAAGTATGGGATGTGGATATTAATATAATTGCAATTTAAAATTTTAAACATTTACTAAATCTCAAAAAAAAAATTTTTTTATTAAAAATCACAAGCATTTTACAACAATCAATTGATTAATTAATTTCTTAAATCAACAAATAAATCATCATCAGTTTTTTAAAGTTTACTTAATTACTACTTTTGATTGGTGGCTTCTTTCTTAAAAAGATATGATGGATAATTTAGGGTTTACCTGAGATTTTTATAGACCCCACCCCCACAAGAACTTCTGATGTAATTTCATCACGAGATCGACCGTATACAATGTACTCGCTCATTCAAATGTATTAATATTTATTATACAACATTTTATAGTTAATATCCTTCTGAGTGCAACTATACGAATCGTGTTATTATTATGCAAATGACAACCTTTACGGAAAAATTTTATATAATATACAGCAGACACATGTGAATGAATCAGGAGAATATAAAAATGCAAAAAAATAATCACAAAAATCAGTATGGTACCGATCATCCAAAGTCATCAAAAAAATAAACCGATAAATTGAGAAATACTCTTTCAATTTATCGGTTTTACCTTTTGTGTTGACAAGTTTAAAAATGGGCATTTTGCAAAATTTTACAGTAAACAAACTTGTTATTTGTCCAATAGGAATACTCGGTTTTTTGTGACACATAATATTTAACACGGCGCGTCTTGTAAAAAAAATCAAAAATAGAAGCAAGTAATTCTTAAACACTTATGGGTAATGATATAAAAGAAGTTAAGCTAAAAGAAGATGAATGGGACAATGATGAATATAATGGATATAATGGATGGGAAAGTAATTTAGATTTAGAACGAGGGAAAGAATGTAAGGATAGGCAATTAGTTTAAAACTTGGATTTATTTGCGCTGAAAATAATGAATTGGAAAAAAAGAAAAGTGGCTTGCTTATATATGAAAAGTAAAATTTCAAATATGGGGCATACTGCAATAAAACCAGACAAAGTGAATATTGGTATTACCAAGGATTTCAGGGATCAATAATGTTTGTCTAACATCACAACTGTATTCTTATTTGATTAGACATTTTGTTCCTTGTAGGAAGACCATTAACAAAGTATTAATGATAATTAATTAAATGAATAATAATATAATAAATTGTCAAGAAAACAAGAATACTGTTGAAATCATGTGACCACGTGACTTAAAAGCAATGGTAAAAGCATTTCATATTAAAATTAATTTTTATTATCACAGAAGGAATTTACATAATAATAATTTTTAATACAGCAATAAAATGAAAAGACATTACAATAAGGAAATATATTAATCAATTTTAATAAATTTTTATTTGCCAAATCCATAACAAAGTTTTCCTTGTCTCTTCAATGCGTAAACTGTTAAAGAAATATATGCAAAAATATAAGCAAAGAGTATACAACGTATATTATACATTATAATAATACATTGTGAACCAACTCACCTACATCCATATATGTGACTGTTCTGCGTTTACCATTCTCCATATAAATGATTGTATCCTAAAAAAAAAAAAATGTAAAATTGTTATCAATGCCTATAAATTATAATGTAATAAATTATTACATACTCTGAGTACATCTTCAAGAAATTTTTTTAACAATCCACGAGTATCTTCATATAACAGACCAGAAATGCGTTTCACCCCACCCCTATGAGCAAGCCTTTTAATTGATGGTTTACACAGTGAGTCTCGGTATAGCGGATAATTTGGGCAATTAGAACAAAAATTTCAAAAATCCGTTATACCGAGATTAATTCAAGATTTAAGTAGTAAATCCGTTAAACCGAGAGAATTTACTTTTAGACGGTTCTGAGCTTTGATCCGTTAAACCGAGAGTTTTATTAGACATCCGCTATACCGAGACTTACTGTGTAGTTATCCCTTTGATAGTATCGCGATAATTGTTTCTAGTTCTTCTTCTTATGTTTTCTTTATTATGATCAAAGATTATATATTGTTTTATTATTGATAATAGAGGAAAAAAACAATAATATTTTTAAAGAATAAAAGATTAATTGATAATAGGTTACATACCTTGTGATGAATTTGGTGGGCCATTACTATTATTAGTATTGACATCACTATTATCGTTATTGTCGTTGTTACTATGATTATTGGTGTCTAGATCTTTAAATCATACGCCAAGATGAGTAATTGGACCTTTTTGCCAAAAAAAATTTTTTTTTTAATAAAAATTAATTTAAAGATAAATAATTATACCATCAATGATTATTTGGCTATCGTCGTTATCAAAATCAATATTATCTTCCAGCTTTTAAAAAAATACATATAAACATGTTAAATTGAAAAAATGTAAAACGATAAACAGAAAAATTGTTTAAAAACTAATGGTCTATAACCTCTATATAGTTGTCATCATCGTATAAAATTTTTAAATGATCAAATATTTCTTTTGTGTTTAGTGGGACTGATGGTGGCTGTGGGTAAAACTTCTTAAGATTATCAACTAATTCTTCTGCATTGAACCATTCGGAAAACTGCTGTCTAAAATATAAAGTATCAAATAAAAATAAATAACACTTACTCTTTAATTTCAACTAGTGGTGGCGATAACCACCACCATTTAATGATAAATGGCACTTGTAATATTCCTCTCGATTGCTGTCTTTTTTCCTAATATTTGGACGATATGACATTTTTTAAAAAAGAAGAGAATTTATACAAAACGCGTTGGGGTATTCGATATTGGTTGATTGACAAATCTAATTAATGTCAATAAGATAAATCTATGTGCGGATTTTTTTTATGGTAAACCCCTTTTTTTTCTGTGTGACAAAAGTTTTTTATTTATGAATTTTGATATATACTATATAAAAATTACACATTTTATTATGTTTCTTGCAAATTTCGGAAACAAAAAGCTCTTGATGATAATACTTTGCCACATTGCAATGATTGCGGTCGAGCTACGAGAAACAGGATAGATTGTTTTTGTGATTTAAGGAAAGGTGAGCCAGTTAAAACCCCAACCATAACAGAAATAATGGCACAGAGTTATGTTGGCAGATTGGAACAGCAGAATAAAGATTTAAAACAACAACTAGCCAGTGCTAAGGAGGAAATCAGTACTCATTTGGAAGTCTTAGAGGTTTCAAAGGATTGACATAATAAGCAAAGGCAAGAATTATTAGATAAAATTAAAAGACTTGAAAGTGAGGTTGAATGATTAATGAAACAACAAGTTGCTCAAATTGAAGTTAAAGAAACAAAGAGATGATCTTGATTGAAAATAAGTAAGTAGTTTAAAGAAATTCTGTATAAATTGAAATTCATTTCAACTATTAAAGAAAATGGTAGTTATTTTCCTTTTAAAGATTTTTGCTTTTTGTTAGGTAACAATGCATCATCATGCTGCTTTCTTTTTCTAACATTTATTATTTTTCTTTCTTCTTGATAAATTTCATAAGTAATCCTTTCTTTTCTTAGATAAGTTTCCAATGTCTGAGTATTATTTATTTTGAAAATGTAAGGAGCAATTTTTTCACCTTGTTCTTTCTTCAAAATACTTCTAATGGTGCTGGAATTTTTGGGTTCCATAGTAGATCTGATATAAATTAGTTTCATATTAACTATTTTTGTCTAGACAAATATCATGATCACATTACATTGGCAATACAATTGTGATGTTAAACAAACACAATTGATCCCTGAAATCTTTGGTAATACCAATGTTCACTTTGTCTGGTTTTGTTGCAGTATGCCCCATATAATAACTGGGCCTGAATGGCTTATCACAAAGGCAACAGCTGGTACAAATAAGGTTAAACCTATTTTAGTTCATAATAATTTATTGGAAATCTTGAGTTAATGGAAAGTTCAAAGTGGATCTGATGATAATATATGGCCTAATTGATGAAAAGTAAATGGATCTAAAAGTTGAATTGGACAAAGGTCATATTATTCTAAAGTGAATTGTTGTGCACAAAAAATTACTACAAAAAGTGCAATTCAGGAGTTGATTTGAAAAGGCTGGGTGCAGGTACATGAAGGATATTAGGGAGCTTGTTAAGTATTATTCTAGAGAAAATTGTGATTACAACTGTTCCTCAAAGTCTGGATTTTGTACTTTAATCAATTAGAAATTTGCAAAAGTTACGTAGAGGGTGGGAATTAATTAGCAGAGTATCAGACGGAATTTAGAGTTTATAATATAAAATGTTTTCACGTGACTTTGTCATGTGAAGATCTTCATTTATTATTCAGTAAATCAGACTAGCTCTAATATTGATAGGGCAGACAGGCTGGATACTGCAATAGTATCTCGGAGGATAGTTTGTATTTAGATTACATTACAATAGACTCCCATTGGCTCAATGATAATATAATATTCTAATAACTGACTGTGAACACAGTGAAGGATTATATTGTGGCGTTGAAAATAGATAATTGTTGGGGCGACTGCAAAGTGGACTTCACGCCACAAATTAAATTTGGCGGTACAAAACTATAAATATGCTAAACGCCATAACAACATAAGATAATTGAAGTCACTAAGCTTATACTTCTGTTTTATTTGGCTTAACTCTATGGCTTTTTCCTTTAAATGATATGTTTTCCCTTAACTTTATTCCGAAGTTCCTGAATAACAATCATTTCCTTTTTTCCTTATCCTCTCATTTAAATTCATTAATTGCTTTTCTTTGTATTATCTTTTTGACTACTAATGTTTTTTCTTTACTTGAAGGGCTTCGCGTCATTATTGTTTGTTTAAAGAGGCTATTTTTTTTTCCTAATCTTTCTTTATTTCAATCCCATCCTTTCAATGAGTTTGGACTTGTAATTTTTGAACCTTGTTTTTTATGGTTCTTGAAGCTTCTACAGTCTTTTTAATAACAAACCCCAGGCTAATTATAATTAAAGAATGTTCTATACTCTAATATTTTTTATTTTTTATTTTCTTCTTTCTAACTTTTCAATAGAAACTTTAAAAAAAATTTGCATTTAAAGGAATTGCTATATACTATTTTTAAAACTTCAAAGGGAAAAATCTCCAAATTTTGCTATGTAAAGTGGTTATGTTTCTAAGCCAAAAATGTTCTTCGTAAAAAGTTACACGCAAAAGTGGTATTAAAAATTTCATTTTCATTGAAAAACTCCTGTATGTTCGGTTTCTCTTTCTTAAGCATTTAGCATAATAATAATGTTATAATTTTACTTTTCAACATACCCGATCTTTTGTTCAAAACTTCTTTATGAATAGTATATAACAAAACCCAAGTAATTCTTCTACTGTCAATTAATCTCTTGATATGTTTGAATTTTTATTTTTTCTTCTCCAAAAAGATTGTTGTATCGACGAATACTATCATCATCATAACAAGCACCTTCTGAGCATAGCTTAGACATTATTCTTGATTAATTCTTGTCATATTTTTTCAATTTTAAATATAAGATTATTCCTATCATTATAAACTCGAACAATTATAATACCTTAAGAAGTTTATTAAAATAAGAACAGGCTAAACAAATGATATTGGAAGGATTGAGAGATATTTAAATAAAGAAAAAAATTACTTATAAAATCGATCAGGAAGAAAAAACTATTAAGAGCGTAGTTTTCACCAAAACTTATCAAGATCAAAGAAAAAAAAAAATCAAGTTGTTCCTAAAAAATAATTAATTTTGTGCTGATGACATCCTTAAATTCATTATCACTGACAAAACATTCGCTCGCATTTCTTTAATTAAAATCCATAGGCATGAGATTTTAATATCTGTTGTGGAAATCCTAGCTTTCTAAATCCTCGTCCGATTCTTCTAGCATCTTCAGACCAACAATAATCCAAAGTACAGATGAGGATGCCTCCTATCAGCTTATTTTGGCAAGTAGAAGATGTCAATATTAACTTTTTTGGAATGCCTTCCATTGATTTTCATTTCAATATTCTAAAGCTATTTGTAGATTGGTTAGCTTGATACTTTATATCGTGAAGATTTGATTTTCGTTGAATTGATGCAAGCAAACTTCATCGGAAAAATAAGAAATTCATTCATATAAAAAATAAATTCGGTTCGTTGTAATTGATTCATGCTATGATCCTCCAAAGTTTATGACAATATATTAATCATAGAAAGATGCCAATATAAATTTAAAATTATCAATTCGTCGGAATTCTCTTTACACCATCAATGTCAAGTGGTAAAAATTCACCCAATCTCATAGACGTAATGGATGACATTTTTTATTATTATTTTGAAAAAAGAGGTCTTATCAACCATTTATTCTGTAAAATAACGTTTCATATGTATCGTTATGTTTTTACAATATCTAAATAGTCATAATAATAAGATGTTCATTTTTCTATATATATAAATCAATAAATAGGCTTTTATTTGGTTGTAATTTCCCACATAAAAAAAACTTCTTAAAAAGTAATAACCACAAAAAATATATATAAGATTTTGGAACCCCAAATGGTTTTTAATTAACATATGAAGTTTGTTTCAGAGCCTTGCGTGCAAAGCGTGTTACCTTGATGAAAAAAGACATTAAACTTGCGAACCGTCTTCGTGGTAGTCGCGAGTTATTAACAGATTTGAATTATTATTTATGTATTAATATTTCATCATTTTAATTGAAAATTTTTTCGTCGTCGTAATCAATAATTCATCAAATATATAATAAAAATGAATATTTGATTATAATTTGTTCAAATTTTTGGCTCTCTACACAAGTATAGTAATAATTATTTTTTATGCGTTATATTATAAATAATAAATTATGGGTGTACAAAAAATAATTCCGATAAAAAAAAATGGAATCCTTCTAAATACAGTCGGCGCTCAATATACTATATAAATTCAGTTCGACATAACGATTTTTTAATATAAACTATATAATAATAATGGAGTTTTTTGCCAAAAGGCCAACTCTTCTTTATATCGAGCGGCAACTTGTAAACTTCATTAAACCATTCGTATATAGTAACACATACACAAAATATTCACTGCGGATGATGTCACGTAATAGTTTATGGTGTTACCATTAATAAGGTAAGTATTCCATTGTGTGTATGTGTGTATGTATATATATTCATTCTTTCAATTGTACATACATACTAATACATATGATTTTTACGTTATAATACCGCCAACTCTCTTTCGAAAAATTTATTTGGATAAAAGATGTGACGAATTGGTGAGTTGATAATCTTTAACTTAAATTGGAAAATCTAATTATTTAATATAAAAAAAAAATGGGTTTAATTTATTTTCTCAGCACTTTATCACGCCAAATGATGATAATACAATTTTAAACCGTTTAAATTAAACCAGATTCGGAACCAATTGTTTGATAAAGCGTCTTATTGAAAAAGAACAACATAGAGTTATGTCTTATTAACAACAGAGCCTAGGAATAAAACAAATTTGATGTTCTTAATAATGGTGGTGTTTCTTCGTCTCCCGCCGATCTGATGATAATAATGTTTTCTCGTTATTAGATCAAGATAAAAAACTCGCTCAAACTGGTATAGCAAGAATTATCTCGGATATTTTTTCTATTGATGGTCAAACTACTTGAAATTATCACATGGGCCATGCTGGAACAAAACCAGACAAAGTGAACATTAGTATTACCAAGAATTTCAGGATCAAAATTTAGTAATGTGATTATTAAAATCTCATCATTTGTTATCTTTGTTTTTTTCTTTGATATTAAGTGATTATATAGAATTACCTTCATGTAAAAATAGTTGAAATTAATTATTCAAAAGTATTTTGAAGAAAGAACAAGGTGAAAAATTGCTCCTTATATTTTCAAAATAAATGATATTCAGACATTGGAAACTTATCTAATAAAAGAAAAATAATAAATGGGACATGCTGCAACAAAACCAGACAAAGTGAACATTGGTATTACCAATATTTCAGGGTTCAAAGTTTAGTCATCACAATTACAATTTATTTTTTCTATAGTATATAGTGTTCATAAGTTAGGATTATCAAAGAGAATAAGTTTATTTAAAAATATGCAAAGATAAGTTGTTTAATAATACTGTAGCAAGAAAATAAAAAGATTAAAGGAAAAGTATATCAGATAATTTTTTGATAATTTTTTAAAAAGGAATAAAAAATAAGGATGTAAATTATGATATAAAGATTTTAAGTTAATATTTACAGTATAATAAAAATTTGAATTATTATTCATCTGAATTATTTGTAGTCTCTTAGTTTTAAATAAAATCCTCTTAATTACACTCAGTAGGCTTGGCATTAGAAACTCTTTGCTTCTTTTTCAATGTTTTTATGGAAGTAGGTAGCTTTGGTGTTGTTATAGAAGTAGGTAACCAGTCCTGTTGATATTGATCATAATCATTTCTCCTGAATCCAGCATTTTTAAATAATTGTGAAGATAGTGGTTTTGAATTTACAGTATTCAAGGTTCGTCTTACTACATTCTAATATTTGTAAACCTATATCAATTATAAACATATAAAATAAGTAATAAGCTTGACAAAAAATAATAGTCTAACCTCTATATTTAAAGCTGATGACAATATTGGTAAAATATTTGGAAATTTTTCTGGTGCATCTGGCACCTCCATTAACTCTCCACGTTGAAACCTACAGATATACCCTTTGGGTTATCTACATGCACAACCATCATCATCAAACCTATATTTAAGAATTATTAATTGTCAATAACAACTGATGAATCCTTGTTTACATGCAAATATAACATACCACTATGTACTACTCCCACTGCTTTTATTTCAGGGCACTTAACATTACCAACTTTTTTGATTAATTTTAACAACATGTCTTTTAGCATTTTGGGCAACTTAAGCCCTGCTTCTTGCATAAACTTAGCACCAAATTCATCTGTCCAATCCTTTCCAACCTCACCTGCTCCAAATTCATCTTTATTTCCATTGTTAATCGATCTGATTATAAAATCATTTCTACAACCAAGCTTCCTTCTCTCACCAAGTTTTCTTTTCTTGTTCTTTCTGGAAGCAGAAGCAATACTTGTACTCTCTCCCCTTGATTGTTAAAGGAAATTAAATTCCATTTTTTAAATAATAATGATAATGATAAATAATAATTACCTTACTACACACACTACATCTAAATCCCCAAATGCCTGATCAACTATAATATTCCTACATGAGAATTAAACCATGCCTCCAAATTTAAATTTTTGATATTACTATTTTCAATCTCTCTTACTCTGTAAAAATTTTTTTAGTTAGTTTTTTGTCAACAACACATGTACAATCAACAATGAAACACAATAAAAAGATTACTCAGAATCCATATAGTGCAAATAAAATATAATCCACATCATGATTCACATTAAGATCATAATTGCTTCCAAACTCAATTCTTTCAGAATCCCCCTAATTTCTTTTAGGTTTGTCTGCACAAAAGAAAAAGCTCAATAATTTCATTACCAATACACATACTTATATTAAGACCATTTTAAATGAAATATACTTTATTGATAAAACCACTCAAACATTAGTTACTTCTTCTGAAAGTTCGGATAATATTATAGGATTTTCACAAGACATCTCAAGGAGTTCTTCATTGGTAAAATGATTTTTTATTATTTTGTCATCAACACCTAATATGAATGAATGAATTGAATTAGAAACAAAATTGTGATTTAATAAATTTGTATTTCTAGCAATTGATTTTATAAGAATACTGACTGTTCAAATTCTAGATCTTGTCCTAATTTTAACAGTTCTTCTTCAATATATCGTCCAGAAGAAAGTCTCCACTAGGGTTTATATTCATGAATATCATAAGGGGGTCACACAGAGTCACACATTATTAAAATCAAGTATTTTTTGCTGTTTTAATAGTGTGTAACCCCCTTAATGATATTCATGATATTCATGAATAAAAACCCTAGTCTCCACATTCTTTCTTTTTTCATATTCTTAAATTTTTCTTCTATTTCTTGATGATTTGTTTGTTGTAGAGGAGGTGTCTATGTATATATAAATAAAACTTATGTTGATTTATCAAATATTAAAAACTGAAACCTACAAAAGAACTACCTTTATGCAGATTTCTTCACCATCATGATTTTCTTCATATTCATTGTCACTACTACACAAATGATTGTAATGTTAATATTAAACTAGAATGACACTGAGTGGTGTGATAACCACCATTCTTTTAATAAATGACACTTACCCATGAATAACATCTTCAATGTAATTTTGTTCTTGATTTCTTTTTCTTTTTGTTTTGGATTCAGTAGTCATTTTTTTTAAAAAACAAAAAATAAAATAATTGTTGATCAATTGACAAACATGTTAATTATTTATGTGATTGATTTTTTTTTTTTTTTGGAAAATAAATTATTTTCAAAGATGACAAAACACAGCTCT